CACACACACACACACACACACACACACACACACACACACACACACACACACACACACACACACACACACACACACACACACACACACACACCACACACACACACACACACACACACACACACACACACACACACACACACACACACACACACACACACACACACACACACACACACACACACACACACACACACACACACACACACACACACACACACACACACACACACACACCACACACACACACACACACACACACACACACACACACACACACACACACACACACACACACACACACACACACACACACACACACACACACACACACACACACACACACACACACACACACACACACACACACACACACACACACACACACACACACACACACACACACACACACACACACACACACACACACACACACACACACACACACACACACACACACACACACACACACACACACACACACACACACACACACACACACACACACACACACACACACACACACACACACACACACACACACACACACACACACACACACACACACACACACACACACACACACACACACACACACACACACACACACACACACACACACACACACACACACACACACACACACACACACACACACACACACACACACACACACACACACACACACACACACACACACACACACACACACACACACACACACACACACACACACACACACACACACACACACACACACACACACACACACACACACACACACACACACACACACACACACACACACACACACACACACACACACACACACACACACACACACACACACACACACACACACACACACACACACACACACACACACACACACACACACACACACACACACACACACACACACACACACACACACACACACACACACACACACACACACACACACACACACACACACACACACACACACACAAATATATATATATATATATATATATATATATATATATATATATATATATATATATATATGAATAAGGGTTTTAATATAATTATGTATTTATGAACAGTTTGTATAGGGAAATAGAATTATCCGATCTGAATGTACTTATGGGGGATTGATGGGTGAAGAATATTGGGTATAAGGGTTAGAGGTAAATTTAAAAATTCTGAAAAAAGAGCGGGGCTGATGAATAAAAGTAAAAAATGTGGAAAGTTAAATATTAAAAACATTTAGAATTATTGGCTTGATGGAGACTGAGAAAGATGAAAGGATGTGTAAATAACCAAAAGAAAAATGAATAATGAGATATGGATGTAAGAGAAGTTCTAGAGGATACGGGTCATGAGAATAGTTGGCGAGGGAAAGGGAGAAAGTCACGATGGAACGAGACATGGCGATTAATACAAATGGGTCTTCTCTGCTTCTCTTTGATAATTTTCGGATAGAAGTGATTATGGAATAGTTATTCCGAAAACGTTCTATGATGTAGCCCGATAGGTTTTTTTATATTATACCTTTTATAAAGGAATTTTTTTAAATAAATTCTTTTGTCTTTCATGGCATACTACAGCCAACTAGAGAACTTCAGTTTCTTTGTGGATTATATTTAAAGGGTTTTTACCCAGGTATTTAGTGGCTTCAAACATGTAAACCTAGAAAAGCACTGATGATCGAATAGTGTTTCCTAAAACTTTCTGTGATGTAGCTAGATAGGGTTTTTATATTATTATATCTTTTATAAACGATTTTTACACTAACAAATAATTTGACGTTTTGACATTTAAAACTTTAATTGTGGCATGGAGTATTCAACGCTATCTGGATATAGTCTATAAAATAGTAACATAAAGAAATAAATTACATTTATAATTTGTTCCGCTAAATTTGTCTGAGTGTTTATATTCATTCAGTTTGGCTCTACATAAGAAGTAACCATAGTAAATAATTTGTATTATTGATCAAATTTTAACAACGACTAGGAGTTACTGTACAAATAAGTGCAAGTGCTCATAGTATTAATGTTAGCTTGAAAGTAAAAAATTGTTCACATGCAGTGAACCGTATCGTAAACATCGCACGTAATATCGGTATCCTAAATTCTGACGGCCTTAATTTGAATATTATTGTAACAACGCAGAAATCTAAATTTGAAGTTACTTCGGAAGCCATGCCTTGGAATTAAATAATTTCAATATTCAGAAGTAGAATTGAGGATAAGTTGTGTGTGTTTCTCTTAACCCTTTCATTCACGAATTACATTTCTTTAAGGCAAAATTCCAAAATTTGCAACATAGACAAAATAATTTTTTTGCGAATTTTTATATTAGTTTTACATTTTCAAAATACACGGATTGGGCAATACAAAATGTCTTCATTTAAGGACGAGGACATCGTGAGACAATGGAGTAAAAATATTAGATATATATTTTTTAAACACTGACAAAAACTAAAGTATTTTATTCAATAAGTAATGTATGGTATCCTACAAAAAAAATTTTTCTTTACTTATACAGAGGTGAACATTGCATTTGTCGCATGTCATTCATGATTTGCCCTTACAACCAGGCAATTTACATCTGGATGCACTAGATTTATCATCGTGTATGGGTCAATGATGAAATTCATCTAGTCGTACTTCTAGGACACGTTTGACAGGGCACGTTTCAACCATGATACATAATTGCGTCAGATTCCCCATTTTTTAGCTTTAGTCAGAATTACTGAAGAGGTAGCAAGCCTTTTCAATAATCCAGACATTATGTTTACACCTTCACGTTCTCCGTTTTTTATACTTATAAGCTATTATATAATCCTCATTTCAAAGTTATTTACATAATCAAAATAATAATAAAAGAAGGAAGGATATATGGAAAACTGTGAATCTTCAAACTGGTAAAAATAAAAACAATTTTGAGTGGAGTATTACTGATAATAATAACTTATTGATACAAACAGAACACATAGCAAACAAATTTGGTGAGTATTTTTGTACATCAGTCAAACACACATTATTAAAACATTTCAATAACTATACCTTTAACGATTTCACAACTATGACAATTAACAACACATTCTTTTTTCTGAGGTCTCACCATTTGATATTGAGAATGCTATATCATCCTTAAAATATACCAGCTCAGTAGGTATTGATCAAATCCCAATTAAAATAATTAAATACACTTCTTCATATATATCTCCTGTTCTGTCTCACATCATCAACCTATCTGACAAGGATGGCAAGTTTCCAAGTGATCTTAAAACGGGAGTAGTTAGTCCAATTTTCAAAAAGGGAGATCCATGTTTGGTTGATAATTACAGACCAATCACCGCAACAAGTGTACTCTCTAAGATTATCCGAAAAGTGTATTTACAGTAAAATGTTAAATTTTCTGAATAAATATGATATCTTAAATAAATGCCAGCATAGGTTTCTTCCTAATAAATCTACAGAGAGTGCTTCTATTTCATTATTTAATTATATCCACGCTGCTTTGGATCGAAAAAGGTATGTGGGTGCACTCTTTTTTGACTTAACTAAGGCTTTTGACTCTATTGACATTGAAATTATACTGCATAAATTAGAAGCCCTTGATTTTCGGGGTCGTTTCTTGAACTGGTTAAGGTCATACTTACAACATCGTAAATTCGTAGTAAAAGTCGATAATAAGAAGTCATCTGTTTTTAATCTTGATCAAGGTGTACCCTAAGGCTCCGTATTGGGATCCTTAATATCTCTTTTATACGTCAATGATTTGATAAATTTTTTAATTGCAGACCATACAGGTTATGCAGATGATTCAACAATTGTAGTTGACGAGTCAACTGAAGTCGAACTCATATCAAAAATGAACTTAGTAGTACAGGAATTTACAACCTGGTATAAAAGAAACTCTTTAATGGTAAATGCAAAGAAAACTATTTGTATGCAGTTCTACTCGCGCTGTAAGCCATTCCATGATTATAAAATCACAGTTAGTTCTGAGGAAATACCTTTTAGTGATACAAAATTATTTCTTGGTAGCATTCTAGAAAGTAATATGACATGTGATGAAAATGTTACTAAAGTCTGCAAAACAATGAATAAGGGTTACTATGCGATCCTTCAGTTGAAAACTCTATTTAACACCAATCAATTGATAAGTGTGTATTATGCATTGGTTTATACATATATGGCCTATAATGTTGTTTTGTGGGGAAACTCTAGAAACTCTTCTATAGTTTTTATAACTCAAAAGAGAATTCTTAGATTGATATTCAATATTGATAATAGACAATCATGTCGTAAATATTTTATTGAACACAGACTGTTGACTTTCCATGCTTTATATATTTATAAGTTATTATTCACGTCAAAACTAAATTTCAAAATTTTACCCTCAACTCTGACTTTCATAATTGCCCGACAAGACACGGGAGGTTGATAAGCGTGTGTAAACACTCCACAACTCTCTTTGAAACTAGTCCTGATTTTGCAGCATCCAAATTTTACAATTGTTTGCCACTTAATATAAGAAATAAAAATAATATTCAAAAATTCAAAAATAGATTAAAAGCATGCTTGATCCAATTATGCGTTTACAACCTAAATGATTATTTTGACTTAATAAAAGACTACAGGGAATGAAGACCGACGTGTTCAGAGACGCTCTATATTGCATATCTTTTTTTATATTAATCAATATTTTATTGATTTTGTTTTATGTAATTGTCCTATATAACTAGTTGATCATGCTTTATGTACTATATGACTCATATCACAATATGATCTGATGGGATTAATAAATAATATTCTATTCTATTCTATTAGTTTATCATATTAAATAAAAAATTATTAATAAATCAAATTAATTATTATATCTGAAAATGTTTAAAACTGTGTTTAGATCGATATTGTAACTGACCTGAATTTTAATAAAATAAAATGGATTTTTTAAGACTAGCGTCTCAAATTAAACAGTGTGTCAATTTCCTTTTTACTTACCGTCATTTTTCGATACAGTCTCCTCTCTCCGATTTAAATTTTGAGTCTTTTTCTTAGCGTTTTGACCCGAATTCAAATGTTCCTCGTGATTCTTAGTAAGATCTTCAACTTGAATAGATCCGTTATTTGATAAGGAAACTATATTTACACTATCTCTTCTGGTATCGATACTAGATTTCTTCGGCGCTGTTGAGCTTACATTTAGTTGATCTACAAGATAAAAGTTATAAAATAGCAAGATGCTTTTGGTTAATGAATTTTCATAAAACATTCACTCATTAAAGTGGTCATTCTAATTCAGTCACTAGCCACTTCAGTATAAACATTGGATTGGGATAATGAGGTATAAATATAAAGAGGTAGTGTTTTCTATAGATTGACTAATTTTATTGATATAAAAGAAAGATAATTTAAAAGGTGTAACAAAAAGTTGGAGTTATAAAATTTTATGCGGCCCTGTATAAGATTTAAAAAACACTTCAAATTGCTTTGAGTTTAATGCTTCATTCTTAAAAATCTAAATAATACCTTAAAAGCACATATCGTTTTTAAACTGTGCCTTAAGGAACTTATCAGATTGGTTACAGAGAACACACGATACCAATCTCACATAATTTCGGCAGAGAGCCAATCTAGTAAAATCACGTCGTTATTTCATATCAGACATCGGTTGTGAGGAGCTGTAGGGTTGTTTTTTCCGGTCCACCAGAAGGAAAAATACACATATATAAATATATGATAACTTTGTTTCTCTTAGCTATGATTTCTTTTGGTGGATGGATGTACGTATTTATTTCCTTACTTGTTACGACACATATTACTTCCGACATGTTACGTCGCCTAAGTTGTATTTTTGTTATTTTTATTAATTAGATGACATGTTTAGGCATTTATACATTCTTAAATGTTTGATATTAGTGCGAATAGCTATGATGATTGCCGACATCCGCCGCGGAGATGGCACTTGAAGAAGAAGAAATGTTAGTGTAGATATAAGAGCAATAGCTTTGGAAAATTAAAATAAGATACCATACTTTTGACATTCATTAGTGCGCTCGTATTTGTATGGGCGCAAAAGTATGAATATGCATCGTGCACTGGTTCGGTGACCAATGTCCGAGGGGTGCACATCCGGTTCTCTTCGGCGCGACAAGTACCCGTTCGTTGTGAGAAGAGTGGAGAACTACACTCCAAAACGGTTAACTAGTAGGAGTTTACAACATTATACATATTTTATATACAAGCATTTGATTAGCTTGTTTCTTTTAAAAATTTAAGAACACTGTCAAAACGGTTTGGAACACTAAGAATGTCTTTTAGATTTCCTTTTAGGCTGTGCTTGTTTCTGGAAGAATCATACTGGCAGCAGTCCACTATCACGTGTATTAGAGGGGTATTACAGTAGTGGCATACTGGAGGATTTTCTGATGCCATAAGGTATCCGTGTGTAAGACGTGTATGCCCTATTCGTAGTGGGTGAATAACTGATTTTTTTCCCTGTTCATAGAGGAGATATTGACGCGAGATAAGTTGGGTTGAACGTCATGCAGTTTAGTTTTTGTTTTATGCCAGAGATCGGACCATTGAGACCATCAATATCTTAAGATTCGTATGGATTTCGACCTCTTTGAATGCAAAGTTAGAAGAACATGCTGCTGTAGCGACCCAATCTGATGGACACATCGGTGTATAAAATTTCATCAAATTGTTAAGTTGAGGATGGTCTAGAAGGATTTTCTAAGGTTTGAGTTTGGGGTTTCTGTTTTGTCGAATCTGCATAAATCCGTATTGAATATTGGAAGAGTGTACATCTATGGAGCTGTCTTGGGGGTATAAATAAAAGTAGTATTGGAGATGTTAAAGGAATCTAATAAAGGAGATAATATTTGTGGTAATGTGAGAGACTGATTGGATGCGTTTGCTGGGGGAGGTTCTATGGGATTGATTAGATTTATTACCGGGTTACTTGGGTTTGCTGATATTCTTAAAAAGTATGAAAGTAGCTGCTGCCTTCTTAGATGGAGTGGTGGCTCTGAAGATTCAACGTAAAAACTTTCAGCGGGGCTTGATTTGAAAGCACCAAGGCATAGTCGTAGGGATGTATTTTGAATCGTGTTTAGAGACTTTAGTAGGATACTACTAAATGTCATATAAATAATACTGCCATATTCTAGCTTAGAGCAAATTAACGCTTTATATATTTTAAGGAGAGATTGTTCATCAGCTCCCCAAGAGAAGCTAGCAAGAGATTTAAGTAAATTGATTCGTTGGGTACAGTTTCCTTCAAGTTTCTGAATATGCTGTCTCCAGATAAGTTTTTTATCAAAGGTGATACCAAGAAGTATCAAATAATTAACAGTTTGTAAACGAAGTCCGTTTAGAGTTACAGAAGGTGGATTAGGTCTATGTTTTTTGGTAAAGAGAATAACATTGGATTTAGAAGCTGAAAACACAAATCCAGCAGGCGTAAACCAGGTGTCTATTTTGTTTATTGCATTTTGTAGCAAAGTGCTGGTGGCAGCTGTGACTCTGCCTAGGCAGTATAATATAATATCATCAGCATATATCGAGTACCTGACTGGTGGTTCTATATATCAGGAACAGTCATTTATGCTAATTAAAAATAAGGTAGTGCTTAAAACTGAGGCTAACCGTTGTCCAAATCATATGGTTTTGATATTTTTACATTTGTTAATACTCTAAACTATCGATTTGTTAAATTTTTTTTTAAAAATAAATAAATGTTACCAGTTAAATTACATTCCGTTAATTTTCTTAGAATTAGAGGTCTTTGTACAGTGTCGAAGGCACTTTGGATACCTAAAGTTACTGCTATGACCTCGCTTCTATTCGAAAATGCGTTAACAATGTCAGTGTGTAGTGTGAACAGGTTATCCATTGTACTTCGATTTGATCTGAAACCTGTTTGGAATGGGTCAAGAATATTATTTCTTTCTAGATACCATAGTACGCGTTTATTGGCCATATTTTCTAACAGTTTAAATAGTAAACAAGTGGAAGAAATTGGTCTATATGATTTTAGAAGATTTGGAGAAGAGACTTTTTGATAGGAATTGTAGTTGCTTGTCGCCATAACGTTGAGAACTGGTTTTGCGACCAGATCTTATTATATAACTCTAGCAGTTTGACATGTGTGCCTGGATGAAGATTTTTTAAGAATATTGATGGGATAACGTCTGGACCGGCTGCTGAGTTTTTTAATGAAAAGATGGCTTCGTTTAATTCTAGGAGATTAAAAGGAAGATTAATAGAGCTAGTGTTAGAAAACATTTTAGAGCTGGATATGTTGGTATCTGAGTTATTGGGAAGATTTGGAATGTTTGACTTATCTGAAAAGTGGAAGGCAAAGATATCTGCAATATGTTGATCATCGGTAACTGTTTGATCCTGCAGGGAGATGACGGCAATTTTGCTGGATGTATTATGACCTTTCATCCGTCTTATCTTTGACCACATTTGCGCGGGTGAAGTATCTTTTGTGATTGACCTAACGCACTGATTCCATGACGCTTTCTTACTTTCTTTTAATTTAAAAAAATTAATTAAATCCGTGGTATTCCGGAATTTATTTAATGCTTTTTTGTATTGTTTGACAGCCTTTTTGCACGACTCATTCCACCAAGGAAGAGGTTTCTTGGAAGGATCAATCGCGCATTTACCAATACATTCCTCAGCAGATTTAGTTAAACAGTTATTTAATAACTGTTGTAATATTGACTATTTCGTTATTGCTTATTGTTGCTATACATTTCAATCTACTTGTGTAAAAAAACCGGTGGTAATAGATGTGCCATATATGGTTGTAACAATAATTTAAGAGTGTAAAAACTAAGGACATGCGTGTCATTTTTCACAGTTTTCCAAAAGACAAGGATTAAGTGTAGAAAACTGGGAAAAACGTAGGAAAGATCTGAATGAAGAATATGTTCTGTTCATTTTACAAGCAATAACTAGGAAAGAGATCTTCAAAATGAATTATTAGGTAAAATGCATTAAGCAATAAAATGCTTATAATAATTTTTTAACGTAACTTGTTTTAAGTTTACCTACTAAACGACTTTTGAAGAAAACTGTTGTTCCAACACTTTTTATAAAAATACCTTTGACACCCCTTCTGTCTCTACTCGTGACGGTAGATTAGATGTTAGAAACAGGCAGCAACTTGTAGCAAAAATTACAAAGGTTGATTCAAATATTTTACATATTGCATCGAATCAACATACTTTTACTGAATCTAAAATAATTTTTAAACAAGCTGGTGACAATATACCTAGATTCAATGTCTGAAGTAGATTTTCGTGCAAAATACAACGAATTATTAAACAAGTACAAAAAATTAATAGCTGATCATTGCATTCCAATTATTATCCAAAAGCTTTTACAATCTTTAATTGCTCTTACTGACCAAGAGGTAAATCAGTGTTGGAAGATTAATAAAAAAACACATTGAATGTGAAAGATCTCAGAGACAGAATGTTCGAATCGCTGTTCAGCTTTTGTCTAATACTGTTGCAACAGCTCTTAAGAGACATAAACCTGGTAATCAACAGTTAGCCGAAAATTTAGGTAATTTCATTGTTGTGTGCTTATGGAATTCATTTGAGCATACAAAATGAACATGTTGACAAAGCTTCTTGAAAGCTCTTGCAAAAATACTTTGCAATTTTTTTAAAAAGGAATGGTGTTATCTATGAAATCATTACAAATGTTGTTTTGTTGATATTAAACAAGCTTTTGATACATGCACACATAGACGTAATCAAGATTCTTTAGAAAATTTCTCCTTCCAAGTTAGGAATCGAGATGGTGCTAATAAACATGCTAGTCCATTAGGCAGCACTCCACATAATTCGAATGCTACACCCTGGCCAAAATTAACCGGCCACCTTATAAATGGGTAACTTTTGATTTCTTATATCTCCTATAAACCAGTTGTTCGATTTAAGTGATTTTTTTAATATGTTATAGCCTTATTCCTTATAATATCTATATAGGTAATAATATTGTTGCTAAACAGGTAAGTTTTCATTGTATACCGGGTGTACGAATGAAACTGTGTTTTTTTCTTAAGGTTTGCATCACCCTGTAGAATATTCTAGCATTTGTAGAATACTGAAATTAAATCGTAACTACTATAGCCTCATGCTTTCTCAACATTTTGTTTTTTGATTGATTCGTTTATGTTGGAT